ACTGGCCTGTTACCGAGGGTTGGCCTGACACAGGTGAGGAGACACTGGTCTCAGAGGTAGAAAACCTGTGTGACCAGGTAACTGCTTCTCAGAGATTCAGCTGCCTCATCTGTAAAGCGGGGGTAACAATGTGGCCTCAAATAAACTTAGCAATGATGGTAATCCCTGTTAATTTCATTGGACTTATATTTTCAGTGCTTCTCAAACTTTTCCTTTTTTTTGGAGACAGAATCTCACTGTTACCCAGGCTGGAGTGCAGTGGCACAAACATGGCCTCGGCCGGCTGAGCTCAAGTGATCCTCCCTCAGCCTCCCAAGTAGCTAGGACTCAGACACGTGCCACCAGGCCTAGCTAATTTTTTGGAGAGACAGAGTTTTGCCATGTTATCAGGTTGGTCTTGAACTCCTGGGCTCAAGCAATCCACTTGCCTCAGTCTCCCAAAGTGCTGGGATTACAGGTATATGCCACTTATAAAACTTTTCTACCAAACAGAGAAGAGAAAGTACACTCCTAGTGTTCTCAGAGGCATGGCCAAAACCCTACTTAAAAGTGTTAGGGGTTTCTTTGAGGACTTTGTGTGTGTGTGTGTGTGTGTGTGTGTATATTTTTTTTGAGACGGAGTTTTGCTCTTCTTACCCAGGCTGGAGTGCAATGGCGCAATCTCGGCTCACCGCAACCTCCGCCTCCTGGGTTCAGGCAATTCTCCTGCCTCAGCCTCCTGAGTAGCGGGGATTACAGGCACGCACCACCATGCCCAGCTAATTTTTTGTATTTTTAGTAGAGACAAGGTTTCACTATGTTGACCAGGATGGTCTCGATCTCTTGACCTCGCAATCCACCCGCCTCAGCCTCCCAAAGTGCTGGGATTACAGGCGTGAGCCACCGCGCCCGGCCGACTTTGTATATATTTTTAAAAAATGTATTCTACCGCATAGTTTATGTTTATTTTAATAGAAAAAAAATGTTTTAAATTGCTTTTGATGTGCTACATGCTACCTGTTTTACCTCTGCCAGGTCATTTAACTTTTCAGCCAGTTTCTGCAGCTGTGAAATACAGAAAATAAAATTCCCACCCCACATGGCAGTTATGAAAATTTGATGAAACAATACATGTAAAATGCAGGCATAGCAAATGGTCGATGAATGTGAGCTGCTATTAGGATGAATTGTATTCTCCCCTGTTTAATAATTTATTTTGCTCATTTCTTTCTCTCTCATGCATTCATTCAACAAATATTTGCTGAGGGCTCACTGTGAGCGAAACAATTTCTGCCACTCCCTGAGGCTTCAGGGAGCTGCCACCTGTGTATCCTGCAGCTTCCAGTTCCTTCTGTTATCCAGCCCTAGGCTCAGGAATTCTGGTTCATGGTGGAAACAGCATATGCACAGCATATGCATAAGGCGAACACCATATCCAGTACTAGGAAACAACAGATGCAGGTTTAGCACAGGGACAGCTACAGAAACCATTCGGCCTGGTTCACTCTGCCAAAGGGCCCCAGGATTAAATCACTGCTACTACCTGCAGACAAGGTTATATAGCCAGTGTACAGACAGGAGATGTTTGCATTCACCGGGTAACTTCATCAGGTAATTCACATCCCACAACTAGACTTCTCTGACTGCAAAATCCTGTGAATATGTGTTTGCAGTCTTGTGGAAAGCATAATTGTTCACTATACTTTCATGTGCACATGAAAAGCATTATTGTGTTAAATTTCTGTCAAACTGTTTTAAGCATTTTTAATAATCATAAGAGCCTTAAGAGTGGCTCAGGGCTCTTTCTACCTCTGAGAGGCCCTGGGAAGCATTCAACCAGGAAGCAATCATGGAGTTGAGGGGGCACAGGAGTGCAAACTCCAGTGAGGTGTTTGTGGAATACCCTTTCGGTTGCTCCCAGCTGAGATCTGGCCCCAAGCCTGACAGTGACTTACATACATACCGACCGACTGACTAAATGCAGGCCAGTTAAGAACCTGGTGCACTGTGGTGACTTCAGTCAAGAATGCCTCACTAAGGCCTAATCAGCCACAGCTCCAGAGCTCCAACAAACAGATATACTGAGCCCTACCCACAGGAGGTCAGAGAAAGCCAACAGACCCTAGGGACATGTCAGTCAAGGGGATGGTGGGAACCCAGGCCGCCTAACATCCTTTAGACCAGTGAGTTTGCCCAAGTGCTTTTCTGGTCTGGCTTTTGTTAGTAGTGGTTGCCATTGCTGCGGTTTATTTTTTCTTTTAAAAAGCAGCTTCCCTCTCTGCCTCGGGAACTCCCAGGCCTCTGGGGCATCGTCTGCAAAGACAGAAGGCTCTCCCTCAGCTGGGTGGGAGTCCGGACTGAAAGCCTGGGGAACCCTTTGCAAGCTGTATTCCCTTATAAGACACACATTCTTCGCCTGGTTACTCTCTTTTCCTGGTTTCCAAGCACTTCTCTAGGACCTACACATGCCCAGAGGCAAGCAGTCAGCTCTGCGTTGTCAGCCACCCCATACTTAAAGCAGGTGAAAGAAATGAGAATTCACTAGGTGCTTTACTTCCATCCACCCTCCGCTTATCTCGATGACGGATTCCACCAGTTCCACAGACCACGTTTTACAGATGACAGAGCAGGGGCTCACGGCCGCTCAGCATAAGGTCTGTATTCGAATTTGCCTCTTTCGGAACAAATCAATAAAACACGCTCTTCCCCACCACCTGACGATCTGGCTTCTGGAGGTGAGCGCCAGTTCCCTACCAAGCTTCCCGTTCCTGGGCTTTGGCTCGAGAGAAGGTTATATTCTTCCGTCCTCTCCCATTGAGCTGGAAACTCTACAACTCGAGGAGACAGCACTTCTGTTCCAGAAGCGGGCTTAGACCAAGATCGCCTCCCCTCATCCCACCTGCTAACTCCACCATCTGCTGCCGCCAGGAAGCCCGAGCCGCTCGGCACTAAGAGGAGATATTCTGGCAAAGTTACTCCATGTCACTTCCTGGTTTGGTGGAGCCTGGCATCACTTTTATTAAGGTAGCCCATGCCCTCGTTCCTTCTAGTCTCGATGCAAAACTGGAAAGAGCATTCTGAGGGAACGGGACCCAGGTTGACGAGGTAGCAAGAAGGTAGGGTATGCACACTAGGGGACGTTAGGTGACTTCGCTTTTTCCTGAAAAAAGCTAAGGCTAAATTCAATTCCCCTTCCTCCTACTGTTAATCACTACTCACCGACGGCGTCTCCTCTAAGGCCCACCTATCAAAACCTTCTGAGAAATGACTCGGACTCTTTGTGCAACCCGGAGGCACAGCCTCCTTGATCCCTTCCCGACTCAGAGCTGCTAAGATGCTGCAGTGTTTTGCTTTCAAAGGTCGCGATTTGATTTGCCAGACTGCCTGCCAGTCAGAAGTTGGCAGACATTTCGCGCAGGCGAGTGGCTACAAGGAGGGGGATGGGCGGGACAGCCCCCGGCAATTGGCTGCGCTGCAAAGCTTGCTTGAAGGGTAGGGGAGCGACCTGGGGCTAGAGCTTGGCGCTCACCTGGAGCGGGGGCCCCCTAGCGGCCACAGGAAGGATGTTGCGGCGACTCCCCTGCCGGGTCTCCCTATCCTAGAGAGCTCAGGTGATTTGCTCGCCTTCACCTGTCCGACCCGTGGGCCCGGTTTTAGCAGCCTGCTAGGTGTCCTCCCTTCTTAACCTCATAGCCACCTTCCGGGCTGTGCTCCTGCTGTTCCCCTACCCCACGCCCTCACCAAGTATTTAAATCCAAAACGTCCTTGAAGACCCAGCTCTCTCCAAAGCCCTCGCCAGTACTTGGGGCCAAATATTTCTCTCCTTTCCTACCCTCTCGGAACACCTGTTAGAGCCTAGCGCTTGGTTGGTGTTTCCATAATGCACATAATTATAACGACTGTGATAATCAACATGCTCATGGAGCTTTACAGATGACAAAAAGCTTCTCATTGCTCACGCGTTGTTATGTACACGCATTTGCTTTCAGATCCTCACAGCCACCAGTGAGACATGAAACCCGTTTTACAAATGAAGAAATGTCATTTAGGCCTAGACACCGACAATGAGAAAGAGGAAGTTCTGGTCCCAGATCCTGGGGCAGAGAAAGCTCCTGGGGAACTTGAGAGAGAGGGAAGGAGCCGGTTCATTGTAGGAACTGCCCGAAGGCCAGCAGGGCTGGTGAGAGATTTTTCCGGAGATGTGGTTGGGGCTGCGATCTGAGGAACGGGCTGGGGACAGTTTATAAATAATGTGTTTGGGGCTCCGCACGGTGGCTCACGCCTGTCATCTCAGGACTTCGGGAGGCTGGGAGGATCACTTAAGCCCCGGAGTTTGAGACCAGCCTGGACAACATGGCGGGACCCCATCGCTACAAAAAAAAAAAAAAAAAAAAAAAAAAAAAAAAAATTAAAAATTAGCCGGACGTGGTGGCGAGCGCCTGTGGTCCCAACTACTCAGGAGGCCGAGGCAGGAGGATTTCTTGAACCCGGGAGGCGGAGGTTGCAGCGAGCCGAGATGGCGCCACTGCACTCCAGCCTGGGCGACTGAGAGAGACCCTGTCGAAAAAAAACAAACTCGGATTTCACCCTAAATTTAAAGGGCAGCCATTGAAGGACTTTAAGCAGGGAAGTGACAAGATCGCTGTGACCACCCTGCCCTGAAGAGTGTGAAGAGGGGTTCCTAGAATAAATTTTAAGTGGCTGCCCTTGTCTAGTCGCCCATGTCAATCTTTTTTTTTTTTTTTTTGCTGTTAGAAGCAGGGCATGGATGAATGTTAATTCTCAGGCATATTCCTTGAAGCAGGATTTTTGAGTGAGCAAAATTCTAAGCCTTTTGGTTTATCACAAAATTTTTGAGGCGTCCCCTAGATAAATGTCCATTAGTTCCCCACCCCGCCCAACAACGTGACATAATTTACCTAAGCCCTGAAATTCTGCCGACTTCTAGGAGGACTTTGAAACGCCTCTAACGATTGGTCAACAACTTTTCACGCTACAGAAACAGAGGATGCTATTGGCTGGATTTATTCCGCAGGAGGGCGGAAGGTGGGCTAGCAAATGTTAGGCCTATGGTTGCCATAGCAACTAGGAGTTTGGGCTGGCCAGATTCAGCCCCCGGGACCCGACCAGGTAGGAGGCAGTTCCGGCTGGGGGGACCAGTCCCTGAGGTCGTGGGGAGGAGGACGCGGCGCACCACATGGGACGCCCTCCGGGTGCGTGCGGAATTCCAGGGCCGAGCTAGGTGGAGCCCTAGGGCAGGAAGAAGCCACCGTGGGAGGTTCTCCTGCGTCGGGACGTGCCCTCGGTGTTCCCACCTGAAAAGTGGTGACAACCGGGGTCTGCCAGCTCTACCGAGTTCCTGCGAGAGGTGTGGGCGTCCGACCCATCTGGCTCAGCCACCTGGTGGGCTTCTGTGCCTGGCAGTCGGTGGAAGCCGAAGGCCTGATTTCTACTCCCAGGTCCACCCCCCAAACGTCTTCCCTGCTCTGGGCGTCGATTTGCCTATCTGTAAAATGAAAGGGTGAGATTGGAATCTGGTGGCCACTAGCCCGCCGCTAAATTTCCTTCCAGCTCTCTGACACACTCTCTCAGCCTGTGAAAACTATGGAATGGGTTATGTACCTGAGAGTGCTTTGAAAAAGTGTAAACTGCTTCCAAGTTGCTTATAACTGAGTAGATAAAAATCACCTACAGTGGAAACTACTCAGGACATCCAAAATACTCCATCTAAAGTAAATGTACACAGTTTAGCACATGTTGATATACCCTGTACAGCAACATGTATAATGTAATTATGTGATAATATTTAGCATATATAATGTTTTTAAAAATTATAAGAGATGATAAAATGGAACTGTGCCTATAGTTGTAACCATGTGAGCTGTCCTTATAGAATCTAACTCCTGAAGGAAAGAATTATGAGCACATCTGTACACACTATTATTAAAATGTGCCTACCTCTAGTATTCATTCATTCATTCCACAAATATTTATGGAGAAAATACTATTTTAAAAATTTTCTCATTACAATTATTATTATTGTTATTTTTGTAGCGACAGGGCCTCGCTATGTTGCCCAGGCTAGTCTTGAATTTCTGTCTCAAGCCATCCTTCCCCCTCAGCCTCCCAAAGTGCTGGGATTACAGGCGTGAGCCACTATGCCCAGCCAACTGAGCAAATACTATATGCCAGGAAATAGACTGAAGATTTAGAGATGAACTTTGTATCAGGGAAGATCATAAACAAGTAAAGTAATAAACACAGTATAATGTTGGGTAGTGAAAAGTGCTTTGAAAAAGTTAAAGCAGAGTAAGGGGCTAGAGAGAGACGGGTTGGTACTTCTTAAGAGTGGGTGGTCAGGGAAGTCATCCCTAAGAAGGTTTGAGCAGAGTCTTGTGAATTTGGTGACAGGACCATAGGTCAATGCCCTGGGACAGTGAGGAAAAGGAGCTCTCGTGCAGCAAGGAGTTGTGGCAAAAGCCAAGGAGGTCCCATGCAGAGAAGATTAGTCTTTAGGTGGTGGGGTGTGACAACTGCCTTCAAATTCTTGCAGAACAGTCATATAGAACAGTGGCTTTCAAACATTTTGACTGTGACTCATGGTAAATGCATTTTATATTGTGACCCAGCACAATTACAACTTCACAAAAGACTGCAGACTATGACGTGCATTTTGAAAATCACCAATGTGGAAGAGAAATGAGACTTATTCTGAGTTGGTTTCAAACTTTGGAATTAGGGTGGAAAAAAAAAAAAAAGAAAATCAGATTTGATACTGGAAGGAACTTTCCAGCAATTAGAACTGCCCAACTATTGGGAGTCTTTAAACTGTGTTCTGATGAAACCTAGCATTCTGCTTCAAGAGAGTCAAACATTTCCCATATATATAACTGCCCATATACACCCAGCCATCCCTTGTTTGCTTTATATTTTGAAAACTATATGTAATATTCTAACTTCAGAAAACCAACCATGTCAGGCATAGTGGCTCACGCCTGTAATCCCAGTGCTTTGATCCCAGTGAGAAGGTAATCCCAATGAGAAGATCACTTGAGTCTAGGATTTCAAGACCAGCCTGGGAAGCATAGTGAGACAATGTCTCTACAAATAATCTTATAACTAGCCAGGTGTGGTGGCAGATGTCTGTAGTCCTAGCTACTCTGGAGGCTGAGGTGGGAGGATCACTTGAACCCAGGAGTTTGAGGTTGCAGTAAGCTATGGTTGCACCACTGCACTCTAGCATGGATAACAGCATATGATGCTGTCTTTAAAAATAATAATAAACCAATCACACCCACTCAGGGGTGCTAAATGTCAAAATTTATCAAGTTAACATTTAGTGTGAGAGGTTAAGGAGTGAGGAGAAGTCAAACTTCCTGAGTTCAAAGCCTGATTCCACCATACTTCTAATGTGACCTTGGGCACGTCACTGAACCCCCAACCAAACTTCAGTTTTCTCATCTGTAAAAATGGGGATTATACTTCATTGGATTATTGTAAAAATTGCATGAGGTATTCCACAGAAGGCATTTAGTACTGTATAGTTTCCATAATTGATAGCTGTTATTTTAAGTTAATACAACATCCCTGTGCATTTATTAAAACCCTACATTAACAGAAGCCTACTGCAGGACAGGCAGTATTAACCACTTCACATGCATCAGCCTGAGAGGAAGGTACTGTTAGCACTCCCAGTTTATGGAGGACGAAATGGGCTCAAAAGGTTAAGTGGCTCATCCAGAATCAGAGCTATTAAGTGGCAGAGTATAACCTTGAACCCAAGACCGGATACTCTGGACCGCTGCACTGGCCCTCACCTAGGAATTGCTTAAACATACATTGTTGATTTGGAAGGTGGTATACCTTTGCTGCTCTTTCTTAGATTCTAGGCCCATGCCATCCTGTCATGAACAGTTGTACAAGCAAGTGGGCCAGTGAGGCACACCTGGGCAGTGCTGTGTTCACATCTGGCCTGCACCTGCTCTCTTCATGACTTCACAGGTATGCAGTGAGAAGACGGGAAAGCATTATTAACAGTGTGGTCTTTTGGTGGTAGGATGGGGGATTGTTTAAAAATTTTTTTGTAATTTCTCATATTTTCTTAAATTTTGACAGAGTACATACATTAGTATTATAATAGTCCTCCCTTATTCAAGGGGGATGTGTTCCAAGACCGCCAGTAGATGCCAGTGAAACAGTGGATCATACCCAAACTGATTACTGTCAATCACACTGTTTCTGTTCATAACTTCCACTCACAAATGTAATGCCTTTTCCGTCTTACCTAAGCACTTATCCTGCTCTGTGGCTGTAGCTTTTATAGTTTGAGATAAAGCACCAAAACTAGCACCAATTTTTTCCCCCTTTTAAATTGAATGGAAAAAAGTTTTATTCTTGCTGTAGATACTAGCAACCTCAGAATACAGTTTTTTTCTTGTCTTATTCAGTCATGAACTTTCAGCTTTTCACTTAATTAAGCACTTTACAGCTTCTCTTTGGCACGTCCAAAGTGCTGGCATCACTACTGTTGTCCTTTGGGGCCATTATTAAGTAAAATAAGAGTCACTTGAACACAAGTACTGAGACAACGTGACAGTGGATCTGACAGTCAAGACGGCTACTAAGTGGCTAATGGGGTAGCAAATACAGCTTGGATGTGCTGGACAAGGATGATTTGCATCCCAGGACGGGTGGGGCCAGGCAATGTGAGATTTCATCACATGCCTCAGAATGGTGCATAATTTAATACTGATGAATTATTTATTTCTGGAATTTTCCATTTAATATTTTCAAACCACAGTTGACTGTGGGTAACTGAAACTGGAAAATGAAGTGACAGACAAGGGTGGACTACTATATAACAGGAAGCTTAATATTTTTCTAATCGCTCATAATTCCAGAACACTCATACATTTTTAAGTAACAGCTTTATTAAAGCTAGGGCAGTAGATAGTTCTTACTAAAATGGTATAGCACTGAGGAGTAGTAAATGAATAGTGGCTGCTCCACTTATTTTTTGAGACGGGGTCTCACTTTGTCACCCAGGCTGAAAACAGTGGCATGAACATAGTTTACTGCAGCCTTGACCTCTTGGGCTCAAGTGATCCTCCTGCCCCAGCCTCCAAGGTAGCTGAGACTACAGGCACATGCCACCATGCCTGGTTAGCTTTTATATTTTTTGTAGAGATAGAGATTCACCATGTTGCACAGGCTGGTCATGAGCTGAAGCTATCCCCCAACCTCAGCTTTTCAAAGTGCTGAGATTACAGGAGTACTGCACCCGGCCCTAGGGGCTGCTTTTATAGACACTAAAGACCATTCATTGTTAAGCTGGATTGATGATTGTGCTTTGATCATTATTGATTTGTTTCTGTTGTTTCGAATCTCTTAATTTCCTGAGGAATGTTGCCAATAATTCTGTTAAATATCAGATTTTTAGTATAGCTTGTCTACCAAAAAAAGTTGAAAATTGCTGCTGTGAGGGTGACAGAATAAAGTAAAAAACAAATACTGGGGGGAAAGGACTAGTCGAGCATAAAATCATTTATTCGATCCTTTACTCATTAGTATTTATAAATGGTGTAAGTTCCTTAGGAAAAGAAATGGGCAAAATGAAACCCAAGTCTGCTAATGAAAAATAACTGTGAAAATTAAATTGTGCTCTTGCTATTATTAACAACTAAAAAGTAGTTAAACATGTTAAACAACTCTTTTTAGATATTGGACAACAGGCACAGTACAATAATCTCTGAAGGAAGAAAAACAAGGTAAGTCCTACAGTTGCCCCCATTTAGTACTGGGGCCACTTTTTAAGCCACATTGTAGGAAATCCAAATGAATTCCAGAGTTCTGAGTTGGGAAGATAAAAATAAGAATTCAGAGAGGCCAAAGAAGCTGCAATTTATAGGGAGAACCCTAAAGGAAGGAGCTGTACAAAAAAATGTTCAGAAACCTGAAGAGAAGTCTCCTTAAGTTTTTGGCTGAGCAGTAATCTACACATGCGTGAGAAGAAACTAAGACCGGTGAAATACCCACCAAAAGGCTGAAGGCTGAACGATTTCTGGGGCTTAAAGAGAACTAGGAATGTTTCATGTTAACGTAAACCAGAATGGAGAGACGTGGTATTAAATAAGAATTGGGTAGAGTTTACAGAAATGTCATGGCTCAGTAGTCGGGATAAATTATTCCCAGAGTAAAAGCTGCTCTGGACTTGCCATAACAAAGTTTGAAAGCTTGAAAGGGTCAGATGGATCTACAAGTGACTGAAAAGTGTGCCAGAAAAAAACCAGTGCAACATTCTTTACAGGAATATATCAAAATCCAGCACTCAGCAGCGTAAAATTCAAAATGTTCAATATCTAATACAAAATTACCAGATATGAAAAGATACAGGAAAATATGACCCATATCTGAGAGGAAAATCAATCAATAGGAACAGACTTAAAAATGACAGGTTACCTTGAGAGGCCAAGGTGGGTGGATCATGAGGTCAGGAGTTTGAAACCAGCCTGACCAACATGGTGAAACCCCATCTCTACTAAAAATACAAAAGTTAGCTGGATGTGGTTGTGCACACCTGTAATCCCAGCTACTCAGGAGGCTGAGGCAGGAAAATCGCTTGAACCCAGGAGGCAGAGGTTGCAGTGAGCCAAAATTGCACCACTGCACTCCAGCCTGGGTGACAGAGTGAGACTGAGACTCTCTCAAAAAAAAAAAAAAAAAAAAGACAGGTTATAGAATTAGTACAAAGAGACTGTAAAGCAACTATTATTAATTTTACAAATATACTCAAGAATGTAAAGGAAACTGAACATGAGGAGGCTAGAAATGGAAGACATAGAAAAAGGGCCCAAATGTAACCTCTAGAAAGAAAAAAATAGAATATTTGAAATAAGAATACAATAGATGGGATTTGCAACTGATTAGACACTTCAGCAGATCAGTGAACTTGAAGACAGGACAATATAGACTAACCAAATGAAGGACAGGGAGAAAAGAGGCTTAAAAATAATGAACAGAATCTCAATAACCTTCCAGAAAATATGATGATCTCATGTAACTGCAGACCCAGGAGAGAAGTGGGCAGAAGTAGAAAAAAATATTTGAAAAAATAATGGCAGAATATTTTCCATATTTGATGAAAACTATAGTCTATAGCTTAAAGAAGTTTGTTAAAACCCAAACATTAAAGACATACAGAAAATTATGCCAAGTCACCATGAAAATCAAATTGCTGAGAGGCACATAGAGTAGTCAAAGTCATAGAAATAAAAAGTACAATGGTGGTTGCCAGGGGCTGCAGGGAAAAAGGAATAGGGAAATACTGAGGAAACACCATATTGTTCGAAATACTGGGGAAGTGACATATTGGTTAGTGGGTATAGAGTTTCAGTTTTTCAAAATGAAACGATTTATGGAAACAGATAATGGTGAGGGTTGAATTTGAACTCCACTCAGCTGTATGCTTAGAAATGATTGAGATGGCAAATTTTTATGTTATATTTAATTTACCATAATAAAAAACTGGGAAAAATCAAATTGCTTAATTAAAGTAATAAAAAAAACTTTCAAATTGATGGATTAAAAAAGGAATCATTGCTTACAGAATTTATCACTGTTACAGTGATAAACAGAAAAGCTTAAAAGTTGATGGATAAAAAAAGAATTATTACTTACAGAGGAATCAAAATAAGAATTATAGGCCGGGCGCGGTGGCTCAAGCCTGTAATCCCAGCACTTTGGGAGGCCGAGGCGGGTGGATCACGAGGTCAACAGATCGAGACCATCTTGGTCAACATGGTGAAACCCCGTCTCTACTAAAATTACAAAAAATTAGCTGGGCACGGTGGTGCGTGCCTGTAATCCCAGCTGCTCGGGAGGCTGAGGCAGGAGAATTGCCTGAACCCAGGAGGCGGAGGTTGCGGTGAGCCGAGATCGCGCCATTGCACTCCAGCCTGGGTAACAAGAGTGAAACTCCGTCTCAAAAAAAAAAAAAAAAAAGAATTATAGTGGACTTCTCATCAGAAACTATACAAATCAGAAGACAATGGAATAATATAAAAGTTCTTAGGAGAGGTAAGAAGAGAAAAAACACCTACAAACCCATAATTCTATATCCAAAATAAAAGAAAAATAAAGACCATTTCAGACAGACAAAAACCTAGAGGATGCATTGTCAGAAGACCTGCACTACATGAAAAGTTAAAAGAATTTCTGTAGACAGGACTGTGACACTAGACAGAATCTTGAATTTACACAAAGAATTGAAAAGCACTGAAAATGATAAATATAAAATACAGTTTTTCTTATTTTAATCTCTTTAAAACATAATTGAGTGTTTAAAAATAACAATGAGATTCATAATATATGCAGAAGTAAAATTATACAAAAGTGACAAAAATGATGGTGGAAAATGAAAGTGTATTGTAAATTTCCTACATTATATATGAAGTAGCATACTTTTTGACTGTGATAAATTAAAGATGTATACTGTAAACCATAAATCAATCACTATACATAAGTATAGCTATTAAGTCAGAAATGAAGATAAAATGGGACCATAAGAAATAAGCGTTTAATCTCAAAGAATCCAAGAAAAAAGAAACAAGGGCCAATATTGTAGGAAATTGATAGATTAAAGCACAACCATATCTAGTGCTACATTAAATGTAAAAATTCTAAACATTCCAATCAAAAGGCAGACTTTGATTAGACAAAAGAACCAAGACCTAATATATGTTGTCTTTAACAAACCATCTTTAAATATAAAGACACATTCTAACTTGGTGGCCCATGAAAAAAAAATATACATATATACATACACACACACACACACACACACACACACACACACATATATATATATACATTCCTGCCAGCCGAAGTGTGAAGAAAACTCAATAATTAAAATATAAAGATACAAATAGGTTAAAAGTAAAAGGATAGAAAAAATATAGTGTGCTAATAGTAATCAAAAGAAAGTTGGAATGACTGTCTTAATATAAAAAAAATAGATTTTAGAACAAGGAATATTACCAGGGATAAATTGGGACATTTTATAATGACAAAGGGATCAATTTACCAAAAAGACAAAAATTATAAATGTTCATGCGCCTAATTATAGTGCTTCAAAATACACAATAAAAACTGATAAAGCTTTAAAGAGAAATAAACAAATTCACAATAATGTAATGTGGGAATTTCAACACTTCTCTCTGATTATTGATAGAATGAATAAACTGTAAATCAGTAAGGATGTAAAAGACTTGAATAAACTATCGACCAATTTTACCTAATTGACATTTATTTTAAAAAACCCTATTCAACAACAAAAGGAAAAATTCAAATCACCACAAAAAGATAACTAGAAAATCCCCCTACTTGGAAATTAAACATCAGACTTCCAAATAAACCATGTGTAAAAACAAATTACAATGAAAAATAAAAGATATTTTAAACTGAAAGAAAAATGAAAACACAGCATGTTAAAATATATGCGATGCCACTAAAGTAGTGCTTACAGGAACAGTTAAGATATTAAACACATGTATTAAGAAAGACGGGGCGGGTGAGGTGGCTCACGCCTGTAATCCCAGCACTTTGGGAGGCCAAGGTGGGCAGATCACTTGAGGTCAGGAGTTCGAGACCAGCCTGACCAACATGGTGAAATCCCATCTCTACTAAAAATACAAAATTAGCCAGACATAGTGATGGGCACCTGTAATCCCAGCTACTTGGGAGGTTGGGGCAGGAGAATCCCTTGAACCTGGGAGTTGGAGGTTGCAGTGAGCTGAGATTGTGCCATTGCACTCCGGCCTGGGCAACAAGAGCGAAACTCTGTCTTAAAAAAAAAAAAAAAGAAGAAGGGTCTAAATTCAATTGTTGAAGCTTCCACCTAAAAAGCTAGAAAGGGAAGAACAAATGAAACCATTTGTTGTTGTTGAATAGGGTTTTTAATAAATGTCAATTAGGTTGACCCCTTTATCATTACAAAAGATTACCAAATTTTGAAATTACCAAAGCTCAGCTAAGAAGAAATAGATAACCTGAAGAGCCCTGTATCTATTAAGTTAATGGACTTGTCATTAGAAATCTTCCCACAAAGAAAACTGCAGGCCCAGACAGCTTTACTGATAAATTTAAGGAAGAGCTAATACCAATTTTACACAAACTGTACCAGCAATTAGAGAAAAAAGAACACCTTCCAACTCATTTCGTGAAGTGAGCATTACCCTGGTGTCCAAATCAAAGGCATTTTTAGAAAGAAAAGGAAAGCCACAGATTAGTAGCCCCCATGAACACCGATGCAAAAATCCTTAACAGAATTTTAGCAAATTGAATCCTTCAGTATATAAAAGTGATACTATCTTTTGACCAAGCAGCATTTATTCCAGGAACACTAGGTTGTTTTAACATTTGAAAAGCAATCAATGCAATTTAATTAATATATTCACAAAGAACAATCATATGATCATCTCCATAGATGCAGAAAAAGCATTTGATAAAAGTGATCGCCTATTCCCGTTAAAAACTGTTAGAACTAAGATTAGAAGTGATAACGAACTTTTATAAAAAACCTACAACTAACATCGTACTTAATGTCGAAAGACTGAATGCTTTCCCACTCAAGCCAGAAACAAGACAGAGATGTCCACTATTGTCACTCTATTCAACATTGTACTGGATGCCCTAGTTTTTGCAGTATTACAATAAAAAGAAATAACAGGCATACAAATTGCAAAGGAAGAAATAAAACTTTTTAAATTTATATATGACATGATTATATATACAGAAATTCCTAATCAACAAAAAAGCTACTTGAACTAAAAAAAAGTTCAGCAAAGTTGCCAGATGCCATATCAATATATACAAATTACTTATATTTTTGTATATCAGCAATAAACAATTAGAAATTTAAAAAATTTTTAAGATCATTTTAATGACATAATCAGTTTAAGAAAATATGTGCAATATTTGTACACTGATAACAGTAAAATATTGCTGAGAGATCAAAGAGTATCTAAGTAAATGGAGAGTATACCATATTAATGGATCATAATACTCAACAAAGTTAAGATGTAAATTCTCCCTAAATTGTTCTATAGATCCAATGTAATCTCAACCAAAATCCAGGGAGTTTTTGTTTTAGTAGAAATTGACCTGTAAGTTATATGGTAATTCAAAAGGGCTAATACAAGAGCTAAAACAGTCAAAATAATTTTGCAAAATAAGACAAAGTTGGAACTACCTGATTTTAAAACTTATTCTAAAGCAAGACAGTGTGCTGTTGGTATAAAGATATACATAGAACTAAAAAGAACAGAATAGAGAATCTAGAAATGGCACTATATATATGTAAATAAACACGCACACTCAGAGATTTGTGATGAGTGTGCCAAGATAATTAAATGAAAAAAGGATGGCCGGGTGCGGTGGCTCACGCCTGTAATCCCAGCACTTTGGGAGGCCGAGGTGGGTGGATCACGAAGTCAAGAGATCGAGACCATCCTGGTCAACAAGGTGAAACCCCATCTCTACTAAAAATACAAAAATTGGCTGGGCATGGTGGTGCGCGCCTGTAGTCCCAGCTACTAGGGAGGCTGAGGCAGGAGAATTGCTGGAACCCAGAAGGTGGAGGCTGCGGTGAGCTGAGATCGTGCCATTGCCCTCCAGTCCGGGTAACAACAGCGAAACTCCATCTCAAAAAAAAAAAAAAAAACGAAAAACAAAAAGAAAAAAGGATATTCTTTTCAGCAGATGGTGCTGGATTAATTGAATCTCCAAATGCAATAAAATGATCCTGACCCTTACCATAATACCATATGCAAAATTTAATTCAGAATGGATCCTAGGCCTAAATGTAAGAGCTAAAACTATAAAACTTCTAAAAGAAAATGTAGGAGAAAATATTTGTGACCTTTAGTTAGGCAAAAATCACTTAGATCTGACAAAAGAAATCTTAAAACCTTAAAAGAAAATATTTGACAAATTTGATCAAAATTTAACTTTTGCTTTCAAAAGATAATGTTAAGAAAATAAAAAGGCAAACCTCAGCCTGGGAGCAAATATTTTCAAAAAATATATGATAAAAGGCTTGTATCCAGAATATATTAACTTTTGCAACTCAACAATAACCCAGTTAAACCCAACTATTTTTAGTTTGGTTTTTTTTTGAGACGGGACCTTGCTCTGTTGCCCAGGCTGGAGTGCAATGGTGCTATCATGGGTCACGGCAGCTTTGATTGCCTGGGCTTAAGTGATTCTCCCATCTCTGCTTCCAGAGTAGCTGGGACTACAGGTATGCACCACCATGGCTGGCTAATTTTTTATTTTTTATAGAGATGGGGGTCTCACTATGTTGCTTAGGCTAGTCTCGAACTCCTGGCTTCAAGCAATCCTCCTGCTTCAGCCTCCCAAAGTGTTGAGATTACATGGGTGAACCACCATGCCCAGCCCCAATTTTTTTTTTAAGGCAGAACATTTGAACACGCTTCACTAAAGAAGGTAAATAAGCACATGAAAATATCCAAATTAAAATGACAATGAGATGCCATTATAAAATCACTAGAATGTCTAAAATTAACAAGATTGAGCAAACATGTTGGTGAGGATATGGAACAATCGGAACAAAATACCGATTATATGCAACAATATGGAAGAATTTCAAAAGCATTACGCAAAGTGAAAAAAAGACACAAAAGAGTGTCCCTGTATGATCGCACTTATGTGACATTCCAGAAAGACCACAGTTGTGACAGCAGAGCAGTGGTTGAGAGTACTGACTGCAAAGGGACACAGGGAGCTTCTCAGCATGATAGATCAATTAATATCTTAATTGTGGTGGTATTTAACTCAACTGTAAACATTTTCCAAAACTTGGAATTGTACAACTAACACTGATGAATTTTATTTGTATATAAATTACATTTCAGTAAAACTAACCTTATAAAATAAAAATAGGCCGGGCATGGTGGCTCACGCCTGTAATCCCAGCACTTTAGGAGGCTGAGGCAGGCAGATCACCTCCGGTCAGGAGTTCGAGACTAGCCTGGCCAACATGGTGTAACCCCGTCTCTACTAAAAACACAAAAATTAGCTGGGTGTGGTGGTGGGCACTTGTAATCTCAACTACTCAGGAGGCTGAGGCAGGAGAATCACTTGAACCAGGGAGGCGGAGGTTGCAGTGAGCCGAGATCATGCCATTGCTCTCCAGCCTGAGTGACGAGTGAAACTCTGTCTCAAACAATAAAAAAATAAAAATAAAATCCAAGGCTTTAATAGTTCTGTAAGCAACATCAATGACTTCTCCTGGTGTTCCTACTGTAGGCAGCACAGTGTGCTTGGGACTTTGGGTCACTGGACTTGGTGGATCTCAGCCAGCACCCGCACCATTTCTGTCTACCCTATAGATAGAACAGAACCCATTCATAATAATTAACTAACCAATGTGAAATGATTTCTACAAATGCTGTATTTGCTGTTTCAGATGCTTAGGAGAACACGCAGTAGAGGTTTTCATCAAACAAATGGAACATGTCACAGAATCACAGAATTTTGCTAATGTGGACAACTCCGCACAGAAAAATGAACACGCTGGCGAACATCCCAGACGTGCCAGTAAAGTACAGAAAGGTCTGGTGAACTCTTAAGTAACATGTGTCTTTGCAGGGAGGAGATAGCTCCTGATATATGTTTATTTTAGTTCATCAGAGCAAATTTGGGGGGAATATTCACATCCTTAAAGGCATACCAGATAGATGGCTTTAGGCCCTACTGTTTCAAGCGTGATGATTGGGAAGAAACTGTGAGAAGAAAGGATGAGGGAAAAAGAGGAAGTCTCTTTAAAACAAACTAACAAAACCCAGACTTGTTATTTTCATGTATCTGATAAGAATCTCTGTTCTCAAATTTAGATATGTAAGAGATCTTTTTTTTTATTTCTTAAAACTCAGCTTGAGTTATGACAGCACGCCCCCATTCTGCTGGGTTGAAAGGATAACTCCAGCCATTATCAGCATAAATCCTATCTCCCTCACAGTTGTTTCAGGGTTGGAACTTTTCCAGTAGTTAGTGTGATCCCAGGAGGCTGGGTTGGGAGGGGAGGAATATTCAGGTCATTGATCAACCATCCATCCACATTGACGAGATGTCCAGTGTCTCAGCTCACGTGCTTCCTTTGGTTTTGCTAGTGTTCTGGCAAACTAGTATTCTGGTTTGTTGGTGTATTCTGGGCCATACCTGTGGTTGAAGAATGTTGCTGAGACTGGAAACCTCATTTTGAGATCCCTCCTAGGCTCCAGCGATTTTTCTTTTGAGGCTATGACTGCCTCCCTGGTGGGCTTCCAGAGTCACTGCCGTTCTCAAATCCAGAGAGATCTCTCTTCCTCCCATCCTCTGATTTTGCACTCTCTTTTTAACATTTCTTTAAATTGAAGCATAAATATATATAAAGGAAAAGTACACAAATCATAATTGTATAGCTTAATGAATATTCACAAAGAAAACACCACCTATGGAATGACTTCTCAGACCAAGACGTAGAATGTCAGCAGCATCTCAAAAGCCCTTGTCCCTTCTCAGATACTATCTCCCTTCTCTGCAAAAGTAAACACTACAGTTATCCTGACTTCTCATATCAATAGTAACTTTAGTTTGTTTTGAACATTATATAAATGTGAATCATACAATATGAACTTTTCCTCACAGGCTTTTTTTGCACTTATGTTTCAGAGATTTAACTTCATGTTGTTTCATGTATCAGTAATTTGTTCATTTTATTGCTCTTGTTTGAATATACCACAATTCATTTATCTATTCTACTACTGAAGGACATTTAGGTTGTTTCCAGTTTGAGGCTATTATGAATACAAACTTCTGTAACTATTCTTGTACCTGTCTTGTGGGACACATATCTATGTTATTTCTTGGGTCTATACCTGAGGAGCGGAAGTGCTGAGTCATAGGGTATGTTTAGGGTAAGCTTAGCTGATACTGCCAAACAGTTTTCCAAAGTAGCTGTGCCCATTTTACTGCCTTACAAGCAATGTATGTGAATTCCAGCTGCTCCGAATCCTCACCAACATTTTTAGCTCAAAATAGTTTTAATTCGCATTGCCCTTAGATTAATGAGATTGAACACTCTCATGTTCTCTGGCCTTTTGGATATTCCCTTTGGAGAAGTGTTCAAACATTTTTGCCCATTTTTTTCTGCTGGGCTCTCCCTCCCTCCCTCCCTCCCTCCCTCCTTCCCTCCCTTCCTTCCATCCATCCATCCATCCATCCATCCATCCATCCATCCAGGAGTTCTTTAAACTATTCTGTCCTTTTCCTATTTATAAGAATTCTTTAACCATTCTAGAAACAAGTCATTTACTAGTTATAGGTAAATGTCTTCCCCTAACCTGGGACTTTCCTTTACACTCTCTTAACAATGTGCTCAGAAATGGAGACTCTTAATTTTAATGTAGCCCAGTTTATCAATCTCTTTATGTTTAGCGTATATGTCTATTCTATTCATACTTAAGAAATCTTTGCCCATCCCAAGATAGTTTCTTCTAGAGCCTCTATTATTTACCTTTTACATCTAGATCTACAATTCACTTGAAATTGTTTTTGTATAAGGAAGATGCCCAAGTCTGTTGTTTTCCATGTTGACCCAGCACAATTTACTGAAAGGCCACTCATTCTGTACTACATTGTATTGCTGTTGCTATCTTTGTCATAAATCAAGTGTCCGATCATACGCAGCTCTGCTTCAGGATTATTTATCCTGTTCAAATATCATACTGTCCTAATTACATAATTTTATAACAACTCCTTAGTAGCATAAGCCCTTCAACTTTGTACTTCTTTGTTTATGCTGGCTATTCTTAACCCTAGTACATTTTCGTATAAATTTATTTTACTATTTTTTTATTTTTTATTTTTATGGATGCGTAATAGTTGTACATATTTATGGGGCACATGTGATATTCTGATACAAACATACAATGTGTAATGATAAAATCTGGGTAGCTATAAAAATTTTACAATTTTTTTTTTTTTTTAATAGAGATGGGGTTTCACTGTGTTGGCCAGGCTGGTCTTGAACTCCTGACCTCATGATCCACCTGCCTTGGCCTCCCAAAGTGCTGGGATTACAAGCGTGAGCCACCACGCCCAACTAGCTTATTAATATCTTAAAAATAACCTCTACTCTCATTATAATTTGGATTGTATTGATTCTAGAAATCAATTTAAAGGTAATTTACATCTTCACAATAGATATTAACTTCTCTAATCCATGTGTAGGTCCTTTCTTTTATTTATCTTAAATTGTTCTCAATTTTTTACAGTTTTCTATGTAGAAGTCTTGCATATCTTCATTATATCTATTCTAGGCATCTGAGTTTATGCTGTTATAAATGGTAATTTTGAATTTCATTTTAAATTGTTTGTTGCTGGTATACAAAACATTAATTGATTTTTGTATATTGACCTCAATTCTGGTGACCTCACCAAATTCAACTATTACCTCTTATCGGGTATCCATAGATTCTTTTGTAATTTCTCCATGTACAATCTTGTCTGTGAAAATGAAAACTTGATTTCTTCCTTTCTCACCCGTATATTTTATGTATTTTTAATCTATTTTATGGAGGCATTGTACTGGCTAGAGACTTTCAGTACAGTGTTGAATAGCAGTTGTACTGGTTTCACTCCCTATCTCAGGGAGAGCTTTCAATATTTCATTATTCAGTGTCATGTTTGCTATGTGCTTTTGTTATAGACACCTTTTATCAGACTAACAAAGTTTGCTCCTATTTCTAGTTTGCTAGGGTTTTTCTTTTAATCATCAAATGATATTAGATTTTATGAAAAGCTTTTTCTGATTCTACTAAACAGATGCATCACCAAAAAAAAAAAAAAGATATAATGAGGGAAAACAGCATATGAAGGAATGCTCAACATCGTTAATCATTAGGGAAATGCAAATTAAAACCACAATGAGATACCATTACAGACCTAATGGGATGCCTGAGATTAGAAAGACTTCCCATTGCTGATGAGACTGTGAAGTAATAGAAACTTTCATATACTAATGGTGGGGATGTACAAAAGTATGACTATGAAAAATAGTTTGGTAGTTTTTAAAAAAGTTAAACATGTGATCTAGTCATTCCACTCCTAAGCATTTACCCCCCGAAATGAAAACTTATATCCATTTGAAGACTTGTAGATAAAATGCTTATGGCAGTTTTATTTGTAATGCCCCCAAACTGGCAACAACTCAAATTTACATCACCAGTGAATAAACATCGTGTTTTTATACAATGGAATACTACTCAGCAATGAAAAGCAATGGAGTATTGATATATCAGCAACCGAGATGAATCTCATAGTAATTATGCTGAGTGAAAGAAGCCAGGCAAAAAGAATACCTATTACAGGTATATTATTTTTTTAATCTATTGAGATATTCATATGGTTTTTCTTCTTTAGTTTGTTAATATGATGAATTATATTGATTTTCAAATGTTAAATTATCTTTGCATTACTGGGATTGGTCGTGATGTATTATCTTTTTACATATTATCTCATTTGATTTGCTAAAATTATTTTAAGAATTTATGTATTTATGTTATGAGGGCTGTTGATCTGTAGTGACCTTTTTCCCTCTTGTAATGATGCCATATAGTTTTGGTATCAGGTAGTGCTTACCTCATTGAATGAGTCTGGAAAGGTCTTTTCCTCTTCAGTTTTCTGTGACAGCTTGTATGGAACTGATAGGTGGAGTGTTCCGTAAATGCCAATTAGGTCAGGTTAGGTAATAGTTTTGTTTAAGTTTCATATATCTTTACTTATCTACTTAAATTATTGAGAGAGAGGTTTTGAAATCTCTGACTATAATTGTGAAATTTTCTGTTTTTTATTGCAGTCTTATCAGTTTCTGCTTCTTATATTTTGAATCTCTTCTTATTGAGTACATCAGCATGTTATGTTCTTTTAGGGAGCTGACTCCTCTTAATGACCCATTATGAAATAATCCTTTTTATTGCAGGTTATATTTTTTGCTCTGAAATCTATTTTATCTGATAATATGTAACTTTCTTTTGATTAGTGTTAGCATAGTAAATCTTTTTCCATTTTTTTACTTTTAACTTATTTCTGGGTTTATATTTTAAGTATATTTCTTGTAGGTAGCTTATGGTTTGGTCTTTCTTTCTCATCCAATCTGATAATCTCTGTTTTTTAATTGGGATGTTTAGACTATTTACATTTAATGTGATTATGGGTGTATACGTTTAAGTCTATCATCTTTCGACTTGCTTTCTATTTGTCCCATCTGTTATTTACCTTTTTTCTGTCTCTTGTATTGAGCATTTTTAGTTCAATTTTATCTCCTTTGTTAGCCTATTAGGAACAACTCTTTGTAGTATTTTCCTAGTGGTTACTTTAAAGCAAGGGTTTGCAAACTTTGCCCCTTGGGCCAAATCTGACCCACTGCCTATTTTTATTAATAAAGTTTTATTAGAACACAGCCACCCCTGTTTATGTATTGTCTATGGATGCTTTTATTCCATAATGGCAACATTGAATAGTTGCCATAGAGGCTAAATAGACTGCAAAGACTAATATATTTACTATCTGGC